AAAAGGTATGAGTGAAAATTAACCTAGAATTTTTTTTTTTTGTCAAAAAAGAAGAGTAATTACCTTTATAGACAGTCCCATAGCCACCATCACCAAGTTCTTTTGATCGATCAAATCCATTGGTAGCCTCCACAAGCTCTTCATAAGAGAATAAGGGTGTCTGGCAATGAAAGCTTATCGTTTCAGAATCTTTCTTCGAAAATGATGAAGAGAAATCTTGGACGATAGCAGTGGAGGGAGTCAAGGATTTCGAGTACTTCTTCTTTAACTTGTACTTGTAGCAGAAGAAGAAGATTGTGCATGCTAAGAGGAAGCCTCCCACTCCGCTAACTACACCTGAGCACGATGACAATGTGGAAAACTGAACATTTCAATCAAAGGCGCATTTCTTGAACAAGAGGACTAGACAACAGATACTGAAATATCCAGAACTTGAATTTATATATGAATCTGCTCAAAAATGTGATTGTTCGTATAATGTAGCAATTATAGCAAGAAGCTGGTCTCTTGTAGTACATATATGCTAGATTTTACTGTTTATGTTTGCTATGTAGTGATTCAACAAAATGAATATTACTGTGATTTCCATCTTTACCAAAAAAAATTAGTTAATGGGAGTATCCACACAATGCCATTGCCTCATAAATATTGCATTATCAAGATACTGGAAATATGTTTATTTATCGCTTTCTAGTGATATATATAAATCTATGTTTATTCGCAAAATGTGGAGTTGAAGCAAATGACCATAATAATTCTGATGATTCAACTCAACATACATTAAACTGAATTTTCGACAAAAAATTAGAGATCATGTCCCATATTTCTACGTAATAAGACTATAGGTTTTTATGGCCAAATATTACCCTCACATCAAAAAGTTTGATATTACAGGAATTGGAGCAATACTTGATGAACTGAGGAAGGATTATCACCTGCAATTATCCATATGCTACGTGATTTACCACCTGAAATGTCAAACATGTTAAGATTTTAGAACAGGGTCAAATTGATCAATTAAAGGAACACCGCATTTCAGAATAAACGAAACAAAATTCTCAGTTTCATCAATATCTATCAAACTACTAACACAATAGAGCTAACTATTTACTTGGCTCAATTCCTCTGCAATAGGCGCTACAATTCCCAGATACAATCCGGCAATCGAAGCAATCAGGGAACGAAGTCCACTTCCGGGAAAACCCTGCAGATATCAGAGAAACTCCGCCGCCACCATCGTCATCAAAGGCGAGTCTCCAGTCAAACCAAAGATCGCTAGAAGTCGCACAATAACCAGGAAGTAACCCATCATCGCTCTGCTCCCCATAACCAAGACCGTAATCTTCGCAAAAACTTAAATTATACAACTCTTTAAACACATCACCGTCGAAATCGTATCCGTTTGGCTCGCAGTTGAAGAATCCTTGGCCAGAGCTCAAACTTTCAGTAACATTTGACACGTTGAAACTTGTTACCGGAGACTTGAAATCATAGAGGAAGATGCAGTTGGATCCTCGAAAGTAAGAGCTGAGCTTCAGATCGTGAATTATAAACGAGTTATCGGAGTACGAGATGTTACAAACTGGATATAAGAATCCTTGGCCGTGTAATTTGATCACTGGCACAAGGTTCATGCACTGAACAAGATGAAGTCCGTCGCATTGGTTTGGGCCTGTGTTTGTGTAGAAAGGGTATTTGATTCCGAGGGTATAATTTCCGCAGGAGAAATTATACAACGAACACGAGTGAGCGAGGAGGGGCAGAAGCAAATGCAGAAGTAAGTAGGAAGTAGACATATGAATTGATTTCTACTTTTCTTCTGAACATTCATCATCAGAGCTGAGCCTAGCTAGCAGTATAATAATGTATGGACTTCTTGAAGACTAACAGACATTTAATCAATGCTGAATGTTTCCTACTGGGTACGTAACGCGTGAACGAGTCCAATAATGCATTCTTGACTTTCAAGGGACTACTGATAATAACGATGACGATAACGATATGTTATGAATTATTGAGGGGGCGAGCACCAATAAGAAGTCAGTGACATAAATAAATCAATGGAATGTTTAGAAGATTGTATATATGGATAATTAATTTCCAAAGATATAAGACTATTGAGTGTGTGAATGCCTTTTGCTTGGTTTGAATAAATGCTTCTTTCAGTCATGGTCACCATGATCTTCAAAGAATTGGTCTAAGGAATCACTTTCACTAGACTAATGCGTGTGCCAACAAGCAATGAGACAAAGAACGCGAAGGCATCATTTTCTAGAGACTTGTGTTTATTTTCATACCATATAGCTTCGTAAGGCCTCCGCCCAAAATCTAGGCCCAACCCATCAACTCAGCTTTGCCCTTTTGTCTTCAAAGGCCGTGAACCCTATAGCTTGGGCTAACCAAAGCCCATGTATGATATTTTTTTGCTGCCAGATCACTTTACGTCTCCGAAGAAAATTTTTAAAAAATAAAAATAAAATCTATGTAAAACATAGACACTTTGATTATAAAATTTGTATAGCGTTAAACAACAAATATTCATTGTTGTATCAAAAAATTTTCAGTAGTATTTATTTTGTGGAAGTATCACCTAATGTTCGTGTTGGTGCGACGTAATTAATTTGATGATTGAAGGCTCAAATTGCTTGCTAATATCTATCCATTATGTTGGGTGGAAATTTCCAATACACATCTGTTAACTAAACCCCCAGTGGGAATCAAATGAAAAGGTTTCAAACTCATTGCTTAATCATATTGTTAAGGCATCAGTTGAAACTTTAAATTAAATTGCGAAGACAGGACATTTATATAAGACTTTTTTGTTAATGAAATCTTCAATATATGCAAATTAAAACTAGCAATTTGGATACATGTCAACACATCGACCAAAAGTATCCTACGAAATACATCCCTATATTCTGTTTCTTAATACAATATAAATAAGAAGGTTTTTTACAATATTTGCCCTTTATAAATATTTAGTATTTTCAAATAAGTCCCTCAAATCGCTGAAATTGCTATCACATCCGCTAATTCCCATAAGTCGTTTCAACTTAATCTCTCTACTAACTAGTTCTACTCTCGATTGGAAGGGACTAAATTGAACAACTCCTAAGAATCAGGACTAATTTCACGATGATAAATAATTAAGGAACCAATACTTGAAAAAAACACTAATAAATAAGAAGAAAAAGTGAACTAATTACCACCTGAATCAGGGCAAGAACCGGTGAAAGTCCCGTTAGCGCAAAAACAAGCCCGATAAGTACCACTTCCACAATACCCACCCGACCTCTGGCACCCCTCGCACCACCCCTCCCCCGCCGTCCACGTCGCGTAGAACCCCTGCCGCAGAGCCTGTGCGAACGCCTGATCCCCGTCGTTCGCCAAAGTCAGGTTCTGTGCAGCCTCCTCCTTCAACGCCACCTCA